GAGACTCCCAGTCCCAATATAAGGGTACTTTGCAGGTGCATATCTCTTTTTTTTAAATCCAATGATCCCCTAGCACTTCAGTCATCATCAGTTACTCCTGACAACTGCCATAGAGATGGATGAGATATCCCAAGATTACAGAATTTTATGGCACTCTAAAGGTCAGTTCTGAAAAAAGGCAAGAGTCAAATTTTGCATTGAGGCTATTTAAATTTTACTTGGAAAAGATCACGATTGAAATGCAGTTAGTTACCCCAATAAGTTAAAAAGGACCAAAAATCATTAGGTTTATTTGTAATGAATTGAGGTTATTTAAAAATTGCTCAATTCATTCTCATGTAACTGGCTGAGCTGAACTTCCTGTCAAGACCCATTCTCCAGTCTCACAAGCAAATACCAAAAACTTACCTATCACACCAGGTAAGATTGTGAGTCTTGGCCTTAGCGATCCCCCCTTTCCTGAGGTCTTTCCTAAGGAGTGGAGAAGAAAAAAAAAATTTCCCGAATGGACTCCAACCCTAATCAGAACCAAATAAAAGCATCCTTCAGAAAGCCTATGGAACATCATCCAAAAACAGTGAGAAAGGACTTGGAAGAACTGCTTTTTGGTACAAGCACTAGCAGTTGCACATACTTCCATTTTAGTATTTCAGGGCACTTCACAGCAGTAGCGGGTGCCCCTTTCCTCAGTGTCACTTCAGGGTATGGAGACCATCCAGGAAGAAATTCCTAGCAACTTCATGTCAAAACTATTAAACTCATTCAAAGTTTTCTAATTGTTTAAGAGAGTTTAAACTGCACCAAAATACCTGGTGAAGTGCCCACATCCTTCACACTGTGCTGGCACCGAAGGTGTGCTGGAGCTCCTACTGGGAAGTAACAAGAGGCCTTTCACAGAGGACAAGTGCATCTAGTGGCTGGAGCAAAGAATCAGCTTGAGTTCTCTTCCTAGCTCTATCACTGAGGTAGGTACGTGACGCTTTATGGCACAAATGTGTTGGTTTCACCATCTATAAAATGGAGATAATCATCTGTCTCATTGGGCTTCCAGGTTTAACATCTGCCAAATGCTTGGAAATGCTGTAATAAAAAAAGCACTCTAGAAGTACCAATAGACAATAGTGTACTGGTGCCTTGCTCTGGACACAGTGGTAGTGGGAGCCTGGTAACTCTAAGGTTACATGAATGGGGGCCCATAAAGTCCACTTCAAATTCCAATTGGTTCTAAAGAACCAACTCAAATTCAGAAAACTGGAGTGCCAGGTCTGTCAGGCCACTCAATTCAACAAAACGGTACGTAAAAAAAACATGCTTCCAGGGTCATCATGTGAAGAGGTAGAAGTTTATTGGAATATAAACATTCAGATAACGTGTAAGATAGAAAAACCCAACAACAACATATACAGACACTTGTTGGAAGGAGACGTCTGAGGTATTTATCCACTGCCTAGGCTATCACATTTTATTCTTCTTTTTTTTTTTTTTTTAAATAGGTAAGAAAACTAGTAGCAAGGCTGCTGCTGTTTGGTTAAAATGTCTTCTAGTCTGGATCCATTTGGAGAGCGTACGCAGCATCCAAAGAACTCTGTGTGACATGTGCACATTTGCTTTGGGAGCTGGCTCGTCATGCAGCTTATTTCTATGAAACTTCTTGAAGAGTCCTGTTTCTGAGCTGGACTCCATGTTCCGGCCTTCCCAGAACATGCTGGTATCTGCAGTTGGAGGGCAGGTGGTAACCCTCTCTGCGCGGGCCTGGCTTGCAACCCAACACAGCAGGGCTGTACCCACCTTCCTTCTGAACAATGGAGTATTCAGCTGCTGCCGGACCACTGTGGCCTTGCGTACCAGCTGGGTGCTTTTGGCTGCTTGCTGTAAAGCTCTGGCTGGTGTGGTGTTCAGAGAGAAAAAAAATCAGCCACACGGCAAAATGGAACACTTCACACAAGAAACAGTCCTTCCTGCAATATCAAAACCCCTGAGTGCCATACAATCGTCAACAATCTGAGTGATATGGATCGGAGCTGAGGAGATCCTGGACCCCCTCAGTCTTCCTCCTCCTCCCCTACCCCCAATATGCTGCTGGTTTCTACATATTCCCTGTCCCTAAAACCTGGTAGCTCAGCAGAAATATCTGGATCTAAGCAAAATGTGCATCATGCCAAGTGCCAGTATCATATCCAGGCTAGGGAGAGGGTTAGTTTTCACAGTCTGAATGGCTGATCCTTGTAGCCAGATAATGAAAGGGAACAGTTTATTGTTGCAGCTTATTTCACTGAGGTATCTGTTACACGTCCCAACCTTATCCTTTCCCTGAATTGGATTTAAACCCCCCCTCCAAAAAACAAAAAAACACAATCTGTTAGTCCCTGCCTATTTCCAGTCTAGTTGTGTAAAGCTTATGAGCATTAATACTTTAGTAGTGTCAAAGCTGTTTATCGGTTCAGTGATTCCAGTGGCTTTCTGTGCAAGAAAACACAATGTTAGCGTGTGATACACAAGCAAAACACTCATTACAAACCTCTGCTCCCTGGGACCAGAGAAGAAAGCATAAGGAAAAAGCAGGAATCCCCACCCCCCCACCCCACCTCGCCCTTGGGAGATAATTCCCCAGCCCACCCAACTAAAGAAGCAAGACAATCATAATTATTCACAGAGTTTGTGGAAAAAAGAATCTTAGAGTGAGAGACGATGAAATGTCTTGGAGTTCTGCATTATTTGCAAAGCAAATATCCTGGGGCCAAGATCTATCCTTCTCTAAATGCATGGGCATTTGTAACTTGCACTGAAGACAGCAAGAGACAGGGCATATCAAAGCAGAATCTGACCCATGGTAGGTGCATTATAATGGCCCAATAAAAGGATGTCACTGTGGCTTCTAATAAGACCAGTCAAGCTATGCAATATAAAATTAATACAGATAGGCCTCTTACAGCAAAGGTGCCTAAAATTGTAGACCCAAAATGCTGTCTCTGTGTTCACCCCTCTCACCTGGAACTTCAAGATGAGAGGAAAACTAACCCATGGTGGGATTTTCCTGAAAACAGAATCATTTCTGTTTATTATAACAGGGATTTAAAAAGCCCAACTAAAAACTGGGCGGAGGCTTTTAGTTTTAAATTAGTGCACTTCATTTACATTTGTACAGAGGCATCAAATAGGGGCTTCTGGCAAGCTTCCAACCTGATCTCTGCTGCGGTAACTGGTTTTGAGCTAGCTGATGATTTTGCCTGTGGGGGTGTTTTGTGGCTCAGACTCATGCTGAGTTGTATTTACAACCCACTCAACAGAAAGGTTATTAAGCAGTTTGGTAATGCAGAACTTAATAAAACAAGGGCTAGATAAATGTCCAGTACCTTGATCCCTTCTGCTCCACCAAAAGCTAGAAAGTCGCGGAAAGTTAGTACACAACATGGTTTGAACTAATAATGTAGGCAGGATTGAGCCCTGTGTCTGTGCACCTGGATTGTACAGGTAAAACACAACACCACAGCACAGATAAGGAGTTTGGCCATTAACGCACAAGACTGAACCATGTTTTAATGCGCCAGAAGGCTGGCCCTGTGCTGTAAGAGGTCTAGAAAAATCAGTAGTGTTCACAGTATTGTTACCTTCAAAGCTGGGCTAAGAAAACTTGCCAATGATAAGCCGAGCACTAGATGGCAGAGTTCTGTAAGTTAAACTGGGGCCACCTGTGGGACATGATTGTTCATAATTGAGGGGAGACAGTAAAACTCAAGCCTGCCTGAGAAATACATCTGCCCCTTCCTCTTCTACCTGCATCTGCCCTCTGCTTTCACCCCCTTGCTCATGCCTACATCCTGGGACCATGCTGTTAGACCTGCCTCTATGCTAGTCTAAGGACAGAGGCCACCTGCTCCTTCACTCAGCTTTTTTCTGTCTTTGGTGCTACAGTAAAAAATAAAAATAAAAACAAAGTAGCAAAACACATATAAAAACAAACTCTTAAGATATGCCAATACTTCCTGAAGAGGTAAAAACAAAAACAAGTACATATTATCTGAGGTATTTCATCTGCTCAAAAACCCTGAATTAGGTCTGTACAATGGGAGACGTCACCACGGCAGGCTGGAGAGGGGCTCAGGTCCACAAGAGAGAGGTCACGAGTGCTTTTGGAGAGCAGGGGCAGAGCAAGAAGATGGGTCTCTGGGAAAAAGCCAAGGAGTCAACTGGGCAGGCAAAGAAAGAAACACAAGCCTAGGCTTCCCTCAGCTGGAAAGAGAAAGGAGGGAGTGGGGAAAGTGAGGGCTAGATTTTCTTCCCTCCCTCTGCATCCAGGAGGTGTGTCCTTGTTCACCAGGGATGTCATCACAACTGAATGCATCACAACTGAATTGTCCTGAGTAGGATCAGCCTACTCCTTTTCCTGTTGCCCAAGCCAGCCTTAGAAACACTGAATGAAGAGGACAAGGCTACAGAGGATTTGTTAAGAGACCAACAGAGAAATGTGTATTGCATTAACAACCATGCACCCAGGGTTCAACAGAATTCCAGCGTCACTGGGTATCTCCTTTTGGACCACTATCGCTGTGCGCACAGGAGGAGGCATGGAGAGGCTAATTAAATACACCGCAAAGAGCAGGGTGCTTTGGGAAGTCTGTACTTAGAGCAAACTTAGTTACAACCCTTCGGTGTCAGGAGGTCAGAACTAGGGGTAAGTACAAGGGATTCAGGCAAATTATAAGGACCAAGGTCACAATGATGGATCTAAACTTTGTAACACTTTTCCAAGGGAACATGTGCAAGCCCCAGGCTTTAGGCGTTTAAAACTAAGTTAGGCCTTGGAACAAGACTGCTGGGAACAGGCTTGACCCGGCCAGAAGAGTGAACTAGCTGGACCGAAGAGGTCTTTTCCAGTTTCATAGTTGGTAAGGTCGCAAGGGACTCTCCCGTTCCCTGCTGGTCCCCCCTGGTAAGTTTATAGATGTTCATCAGATCCCCTCTCAGCCTTCTCTTGTGGAGGCTGAACAGGTTCAGAACCCATATCCTCTCCTCGTAGGGCCTGCCCTGTTGCCCCCTTACCATGCAAGTGGCCCCCCTCTGGACCCTCTCCATGTTGTCCACATCCCTCCTGAAGTGCAGCGCCCAGAACTGGACACAGTACTCCACTCTGCATCCAACAGAGAGATGGGACATTCCATCTCTGTGCACTGAACACAGAGCTGGGACAGTCCTCTGCATCCTCCCAGGATCCTTGAGATGTAGATGAGAGGAGGGCAGGATAAGAATAAGGACAGAAGTCATTCAAGTCTCCCACGAAACCAGAAACAGGCTAGGCTAAAGAGCAAGGTGAGCACACTCAGGTGAGAACATCAGTGTGTTGAACTTAGGGGAGGACTGAATGGTTTGCCTGCTGTATAACTGCACAAATGCTGTTGCTGTCTGCAGCAAGAGGGAACCAATAAAAGAGGCGGAGACCCAGGTCCCTTTGGGCATACGATTGTCAATACACTGTGTTGGGAAAGCCCACGTAGCTCATGGTTAGAGAGCTGGAATTGATCTTCCAACCCGATAACCAACCTCTTCTCCTTTCACCTGCCATGGTGATGTCTCAGTCCTCTACAAACCCGCAGCCTCTAAAGATGATCCCTGATTGAAAGACGCCATGTGTGTCCCCTTCCCCTGACCCTATCCCCTAGCTGGAAACCTGAAACAAAAATTAAAAAGAAGAGAAAAAGATTGAACAAACAGGCGACGCTCCTGAAGAGAAAACTCGCCAGCATGGAAGGTTTTATCATCTCGCTGTCGGCCAACCACAAAGCAGGTTCTTTGAGATGAGGTAATCTGTGCGACTCCTTCCAGGCTCGCTCCCTGCCTTGAACAAAGAGGACACGACCGCCCGAGGCCAGTGTGAGAGACAACAAGCTCCCCCATCCGTCAGAGAGACCAGCTGGTTGAGGGCTCTGCACTGGGAGTGCCCCTGGATGAGGTAGGGCTGGGAGAGCAGTGGGAACTGCTGCTGCTACTGCTGCTGCAGGTGCTTTGGGTGTTGGATCCTGCAAGGAGATGGACAACCGGCTTCTGGGCAAACAGCACTCCTGCAGGGCAGAGACAAGTTTGGAAAGGATTAGTGAGACAACACAGCTGTAAAGAAGACCAGCTGGCTAGCCTAGACTCACTGCAGAGAGCAAGAGAGGAGGATACTTTCTCCAACCCCAAAAGATATTAGAGTGGAGAGCTCAGGGAATTTTACAGAAGGTGCAAGCCTAAACCAGACCTGCAGATTCAGGAGACTGAATGCAAGTTAAGTGACAGCAACAAAAGAGGAGGGCAAGGGGAATACAAGGCATCTTGCGTACTGCAGACTCCCGTACACTAAAGCTTTATGAACAAAGGATTAAAAAACAGAACCAGGTTCAGTTTCTTTGCAATGTACTTCTACTGTCCTACAGTTGCATTTCACTGGGCTATTCCATTAGAAAGGCGGCACTTAGCACCTACCTGGAAAGATGCTAAAACACAGCCTCTGGAGGGACATTACTTCAGACTGAACAGACGAGAAAAGGGAGGTAAAAAGGAACTAACACTCTAGTGGCAAGTGAAGGGGATCTGGTCTCATGGGACAGAGGTCGTGGGATCTCTTGCCAGATAACTACCTCTGTTACAGTTTATATTAAAAGATGTGCCAACAAAATGATTCCATTATGAGAACACCCCAATATGTGGAGAGATCATGTGAAAAAAGTGGAGAATACTTCCTTGAAGAGAGACAGCTTCTCTCCAGAACACAGGAAGTCACCAAGAAACAGCTTGTATAGAGGCTTTCTATATATATAAAAATCAATTGACAATGTGGTGCAGAGAAGGGCTGAGGAAAAATAGCTCCCGTGTGAACTCAAGGCAGGTTTTAGAAAGTTTTGGATTTATGTTTGACAAGTTAACAGCATCCAAAAGTATCCTGCTTTAAAACAGAAGCTGCTTTGTCCGAATCCTACTCTGCATCATTGTCATCCATGCTTTTGTTATCACAAGGCTACACTATTGCCATGAGCTCTGATGGCCGTCTAAAAGCTGCAGCTGGTACAGCATGTGGCAGCCTATCTTCTATCAGGGGTGGGTTGTGAGGAGCTTTTTACTGGTGTTCTAGACTTCTTGATAGTTTTCCAGACACAATTCAGGGTGCTGGTTTTGACCTATAATTGTCTGATTCTATATATAGAATCATAGGGCTGGAAGGGACCTCACAAGATCATCTAGTCCAGCCTCCAGCTCAAGGCAGAATCATCCCTGCTTAAACTAGCTGCCAAGTGTCTGTGCAACCTGTTCTTGAAAATTTCCAAGGATGACGATTCCAGTTTCTCTAGGTAGTCTGTTCCAAAGCTTGACCCTCTTAATCAAAACCCCTCCTAATCTCTAACCTAAATTTCCTGTTGCAGTTTGAGGCTGTTACTCCTAGTCCTGTCCTCTACAGCCCATCTCCATCCTCTCTATAAATCGCCCTTCAGGTACTTGAAGACTTGTCAAATCTCCCCCTCAGTCTTCTCTTTTCCAAACTAAATAACCCCAGCCTTTTCAGCGTTTCTTCATAAGTCATGCTTCCCAGACCTCTAATCATTTCGTTGCTCCCTTACTTAAGGGACCGTCTTCACTCTTACGTTCTACCTTGATCCCTGAGGTCAGCCAACAGCAACCTCCCTCAAGTACCATCTGAGCGCCAAGGTCACTTGGCAAAATATGGGGGAGGTCATTCTCTGCTTTACAACTCCCGCCCCCAACTTGTGCCCCGCCCTTGCCCCCCAGAGCCCAAGCCTGGTCATCTTCAGGAAGTGTTGCAAGACCTTTGCATTCGGGCAGATGGTTAGCAAACGAGACTTGGCTGAAGAATGGTGCAGTGCAGAGAGTCTTTCACATGTCAGTATATATCTTACTTAATATTTTATCTGGTTTTATAAGTTATTTTGCTTTTTTACTGTAGGCCAGAAAAAAAAAAGTAAAGCCTCAGTCTTTACATTGCCAAAAAGCCTTTTTTCCCCTCACCAGCATAGATCGTGCCGTTAATCTCCACAGACATGTTAATGCTCCCAATGCCACTCGGTGACAAATTCAATGCTGCTGCTGCCGCCGCTGCTGAATCCGGTTTATCCTCTGTTGGGAAAGGACAGATAGGAGTTAGATTGCGATTGCACCTTGCTTCCTGCTGGATGGCCACTGCACTGTCCAAAGACTTTGCAGTGCACAGGTCCTTCTTTCATCTCCTCTTTGATGTGAAAACTCAGCATCTCAAGGGACAAGACACTACTTATTACGAGCTGCTTTGCAGGAGGAAGGAAGGAAGCTGAAGTTTGGAAAGAAGTGGCTCCCTTTGTAGTCCCTGAAGCACACTGAACGGTTTCTAAGCAAGTACTAACATGCCCTGATCCTGTTACCTCTTGATTCTCAAGCCTGTACTTTAACTGCAACAGCACCCATGCCCTGGCTGTCAGGACATTGGTAGGCCCTAGCACTAAAAGTTTTAGTTCCTAGCTTCACTGTTGCATCCTCAGCCCTGTATAAAGTTGGCCACCTGCAGTAGGTCACTAAAATGAACACAAAATATAAAAGAACACATTGTTTTCTACTTCTGAAGGTCCTTTACAGAAAATGGAGGCATGTCTTCATGTAGGCACAGCCCTTCTGGCCATTTATTTGTGAATCTGCAACAGCAGTACTGGAGACATCAAAGCATGCTCCATAAGGATGACAGTGGAAAGATGGGAAGGGTGTACTGTATTCTTTAGTTCAGTGTTGTAAACAAGGAGGTTAAAAGCAAGATTCTTGCCAAGAGAATTCATATCATATTGAGCATATGAAACATCCTGAGAGCAAAGACCACTTCCAGAATCATGTGAAGGGAAACAAAAGGAAAGTCACTTTGTTTGAGCTAACGCACCACCCAGGGAAGCATACTTTGGAAGAGCAGTGGCTCAGAATAAGAGAAATTGGTGCCAATCCCCTTATAAATTCATGATCTACTTAATCAACATTAAAGTAACAAGAATGTCTTTTGAACAAAATCCCTCACGCAGCCATGGCTAGGCTGTAGTACCAAGGCCTGCCAGGCAAGGGAGCAGGATTATCCAAAATATCAGATAAGAACAGAACAGAAAGAGACATTAACCTTTCCTGTGAACATAAGAAGCCTATTTCTCTTTCCTCTTCCTTTAGTGGGCACCTTTATGGATCCCCTTTATGCTGGTACACTACAAACTAAAGGCAGGATTTTCAACAGTGTCCATGTGGGCTAGGCACTTAACTCCAATCAACTCTGAACTGGAGTTGCGTACCTAACTCAGATGTTTTTGGAAAATACAACTTACCTGCATTATAATGTTGCTGTACCTGTTAACAGAGACACAGAACTGCTTCCTCCATTTCAGGATTTTGGAGGTCACCCTCCTTTGTAAGACATTCCCTTGTTCCAAAACATGCTCAGAGCTTGTTCAGCAGTGCCTGTGCTGCAATTACCTGTCACCAGGAAATGAAGTCTCTAATTCAGACCAAAGAATTTTTCCTGGGGCTGAAACTACCCATGAAAAGTCCATGCATGTTTCTAGCTGCCATCTGATGTTGTATGCTTCATCCTCCTGGGGTAGTGAGGCTGCTGCTCCCACGAGCAATGCCAGTAGCATTACTAGCACTTCCAAAGAAGTTTGGTTTAACAGCCATCACTTCACAGATGGGGAAGGGGAGAGGACTTAGACAAAGAGACCCCACAGATCTGGGAGTCGCACTGCCTCATCCTGGTTCAGAGCTTTATCCACTGGAACACACCAGCTCCAAGGGTGTTCCTGGGTTTATAAACTAGACCTCTTCCTATCCAGTTCACACCAGAAGCAAGGAGAGGGGCATTGGCTAAGTGGGAGGGGATTTAACCCCAACACTTGCATTTGTTAATGGATATTCAGGTATGGAATTAAGTTCACCATCCTAGGTGATTGTACAGCTAAAGCCTGGTCCCACTGAAGTCAGCCATTATCTTCAGTGAGATCCAGTGTCACAGATCTCAATCCGATCTTCTCATTGCCACAGTGCTAGTATTGCGTGAAGCAATGGTTTCAAGAATTCCTTTCCCTTCTCCCACAAAATGTCAGACCTCCATGGCCTTGTTTCTAGATCACAAGATGCAAGGAGATGGAACCAGAGCTCTTTAATTGAAATGGATCAAAAGGTTTGGAGGAGAAAAGTGTTGGCCTGAAATCTTCTAAAACACTCTTAGCTTTGCTCTTCCTCTAAGCTGTAGCCCTGGGACAGAGGTAAGTGAGAATGCTGTATTAAATAGCTTTTGACACCACTGATTCTGGTAACATGAACTTTTAGGGGTAGGTCTTTTTATGCCTGTTGCTTACATGCAAACTTCTAACTCAGCCTACAATGGCTGTCAGCAGTCTCCTCTGCAAGCAAAATGCTAGGTTTTCTTTTCTGGAGACTGTGAGCAGGGAAGTGTAGATTCCTCTCTACAGAAGAGAAATTGGGTCCTTTCTCCATGGAAACACAGTCAGGACAAAATCACTGCTACTCTCATCCAAGATATCACTCAACTCTTTTAAAGAAAACAAACCCTTGCTATAGTCTGGGTAAAGGTAGGACCTTCTTCCAAACAAATACCAAGCTCCAGCCTCAGTCTAACCTATGACAAAGGCTTCTTAAGTTGTTCATATCCAGGGCCTTGTCTTGACAACCTCCCTCCTGCAGTGTCACCAAAATGTCAAGAGCTGCAGCGTTTGCTGACTGCAGATCTATAAGATGCCAAGCAAGGAGCAGGAGAAGATAGTTAGGGAATCTGTTCCTTTCTGCAGTACATTGGTACTAGAGCCAGAGGAGACCAGGATTAGGAACAAGGGCTGAAGGGCTAAGCAGATGGCACAAAGTAAGGGAACCACAAGAGAGATGTCCTATAGATTGCCACCAGTGCCCAGTCTCTTCCACTGGAGCAAAGACACCATTCACAAGGTTCAAAGAAACATACGAGGTGTTTGCTGCATCAAACAAGGACTCTGTCCTTTTGCTATAGAGCCTCCTCACCCCTGCCATTGATTTTGATCTTCATGGGGATCTGCCGTGCCATGCTGAAGAGATTGCGCTGAAGCGCCTGCTGGACAAGCCGCTGCTCTTCCTCTGTCATCCGTGAGAATTTCTTCTCTGGAGGCTCTCCAGATTCCAGCCTCTCCCTCAGCTGTTCCAGAGTTGCTGTCCTTGCTGCTACAGTTGCCTGCTGGTTAGCCAAGGCCACTGGCATGGCGATACGATTTGGCATAGACACAGTCAAAGGGACACCATCACCTAGAAGAGCAATGAGTTGCTCAGTCATTACATGATCCACCCCAGTAAAGGAGTTGGGTTTCAAAGTCTAATATGGAAGAAGGAAACCAGGGCAGAAAAATGTTATTCCACAGTTCCCTGAAGGTCAGGGGGGACATCCCACATAAAGTCCCTTCTTTCCCAAGTACTATGCCCATTCTTCCCACTATACTAACAGGACATCAGGGTCCAATGCTTGGGAACCAAGCCATGTTCTCTCTCTTTCTCCTTATATTCTTCCAACTGGGAATGACTCAGCCCTAAAGCCTGCCCTCTTCTGTCTGAGGGATGTGTATCAGTCATGTTCACAACCAAAAGGAGCCAGGACCCTCTCAAAGCAATACCTACAAACCAATCTCTAAGGTGACACCATGGCATGCCCCAGGAGGAAGACAGAGGCCAGGAACTTAGACTCTAGTCATCCCTTACATAGCAGCCTGATGCTCTGAAGCCACTCTGTGGAGCTTTCTCCATGTTGGCATCAGATTGCACTTTCAGGCCATTGAAATCCACCTTCATTCTTAAGTTTAACTGCTCTTCCTGGGACAGAATTGCTTTCTGTGATGTCCTTCTTCACCAACTCTCAAGTCCAGTTTGTTTTAATCTGCCTGAAACTGCCTAGAAGCCTTCAGCTGGGATATCCCACCATTTTACAGCGAGGGAACTAGAGATGAAGATAGGGTAAGTGACTTGCCTACTGCTGCAAAGGAACTCAGTACTGGGGAAAGCCCTAGAGGCCCAATCATTTCCAGATGACCACGGATCTATCCTCATTCCTTCTCTTTCACACACACAGCTCTGCAGTCTTGGATGGATAGTCAATATTGCAGTTCAGTCACTGCTGATCCAGCACAAAAGCTAACAGGGACCTGGAAGGCTCCATAATTTCCCAGCCACCCAGCCCCTCATCACCACTCCAAGTCCTCTGACTCAGGTCTGAACTAGTTCAGCTAGACACAGATCACTCTTCTGTTACACAGACTTTCTAGGCTTTGTAGAAGCCAGTGGCAGACCTTTCCTGACAGCCGTTGCTGGAGAGACACGAGGGCTGCTGGTTCCACTGCCTGGGGTGACGCCAATGATCGGGAAGCGGATCTTTGGGGGAGACAGGAGGGAAGGAGACCCTGTGGTGCTGGGTGAATAACTGAACAAGGAGGAGCTGTAGCTGGGCCGTCTGCCTTCCCGCCTGTTGCCATCAATAGCAGCCTGTAGCTCAGCAGGAGAGCTTAGGGACTTCTTCTCACATTCGTAGGCATACAAGTACTTCATATACCTGGGAGAAACACAGGGAGAGGGGAACTTAAAAGCAGCAGAGTCAGCAGCACTTGGAAAAGGTGATTTAAAGAGCTCTGTAATTTAGAGCACTAAGTGAAATGCTCAAGAATGCCAACAGGATCAGGCTTTCTGGAGACCCAGAGTATTCACTGGGATGTCAGGGTAGCATTTACCAGGAGTCTGAAGAAGGCTGCGCATAGAGTGTAAGGTTGTTGTCTGCATACAGACAACTTTCAGGTGGTGGGTCTTGAGTTTCTGGGGTGGAGGGGCACAGTCACATGCTGTTAAACATATGGATCCAAGGAGGCAGAAAAGGTGGGCTATATTACATTGTATTTGAGTAACTGTGTGTGGTCACCAAACTAATGGACCCTGACATCATAACTATATACAAAGGGAAGGGTCAAGGGATCAACCCTGACTTGGCTGGCCTTGAGTGATTATCTACATGGAATCAACATCCTCAAAGTGAGTTTTGCTTGTGGGGAAATCCCTAGGTGAGATGACTTGGTCATTTGAAGTAAATTATATAGATGAGACAAGAACTCTCATCTGCAGTATTGATGCTTTGGCGACTTGCAAGAAAATGGATACGAGCCATGTAAGCTCTTTTACCTCTGTTACCTGCAGCAGCTATGTGACCAGCCCACTGGCACACCCTTGCCCCAGCCATTTTAGATGGAGCCCTCACCTCAACTCCTTTGGGTTCACGTGAGATGCTGGGAGCCCAAGGAAACGCTAGGCTCCCAGAGAGCAACAGAGCATAGCTCCACTTGTTTCCTAATACAGTGCATGGCACCTATACATGAAGGTTCACAGGACACAAACCAGAGTTCCCTTGAATCCTTTTTGTGAAGCCATTATTTATAAGAGCACTTAGGTTTTCTGGGGCCGTGATCCATGACCAAATGTCCCATGAAATAGGCAAACATACCTCTGGTATACATTTCACTATGCAACTAAATTAGCTAGACATGAGTGTCCAGCAGAGGAAGAAAACCTTGCAAAAGCGTAGTGAAAAGCCATATTGACTGTTCCATGAATGTACAGTGCATGATTCCTAACAGGCTTCAACTCAGTTAAAACTAAACCATCTGTAAAAGCAGAGCCTCTTAGCTTCACTGAGAGCTATTTTCATTTCAATTCTCAGCTTCCTAACTCCTGCCATTAAATCTCTTTGAAAAAAGCCCTTTCCTTTCAATCAAAAGTGGCTGAAACATGTTTGTTTAAACTAGAAGAAAAGCTTCTGCTTTGGGAAGAGACCAAGCATGGAAAATTTTCCCTGATATGATATTTTTTTAAAATCTCCTCAGCAACTGAGAACAGAGTTAAAAGAGTTCTGCAAATTTAACTGTAGAGGTCACTATTGTTCCCGCTACAGTAATAAATAATTACCTAGCCTTGCAAGCTGTTTTTCTTTAGTAGACTACAAAATACTTTCCAAAGATCAGCATTTACAGCCAGGGAAAACAGTTCTCCTTTTAAAGGCTTTCAAAACACATCAGCATCATGACCTATATGATGTGTATATATGTATATGTATCAGGGGTATAGGTTGTAGCCATGGTGGTCTAAGGCAGGGGTGGGCAAAATGCTGCCCGCCAGGTCATTCTATCCAGCCCACAGGGCCCCTAAAAGATTTAGAAAATTAATATTTATCTGCCCCTGGCTGCCCATCATGCAGCCCTTGATGGCTTGCCAAAACTCAGTAAGCAGCCCTCTGCCCAAAATAATAGACCAGGGGCAGGCAAAGGACATAGGCAGACCAGGTTCTTTGGGTAAATCCGATATCTTTTCTTAGACCAACTCAAATAGTTGGAAAAATTCTTCTTTGCAAGCTTTCAGGCACAGATAATGGTCTGTGCTCTTCCTGGATGGAGTAGTAAAGCAGAGAGCATCTGTAGATGCTTCCTCAGCCTGACAAAAGATATTTGTACCTAAAAGCTTGCAAAGAAGAATTTTTCCAACTATCTGAGTTGGTCTAATAAAATATACTGGATTTACCCAAAGAACCTTGTCTACCTCTGTATATATGTACACACACACGAGCTCTATATATGAACTACCTATACTTCACAGAAGTGAAAAGTAAGGGATGGACAGGTCACCCCAAGGTAACAGGATGAGCTGGGAGTTGAACTGGGATTGGAGCCCCAGGAACTCTCTACACAAGAGATTGGAAATGTAGCAGAGCAGCTGCCCTGATACTTATGACCCAGCTGCTGTTATGTGCTAACTACCCTGCTCTCCCACAGCTCCCCCTGCTCTGTGCCCTCTTCCACTTACCAGGTGCTGCTGAAAGCCATAGTGAACACACCAATGGAGAATGGTCAATTTGGCAGCAAGGGCACAAAAGGAGGAGGCCAAGCAGCCACTTTAATGTGGCCCCTTTAAATCAGAAACGCCCTCTGCCCCCCTTCCCCCTCCCAACTGAATCAGACCTTCACAGGCTGGATTCAAGCTCTCCAGAGCCTGGATCTTGCCCAGGGGTCACAAGTTGCCAGCCCCTAATCCACAGTGTCAAAGGACTGATAGGGAGGACTACAGTGAAGCCTGGAATGTCCATTCTGCATGTGCTACAGCCTAAAACGGGTCATGCTGTAGATACATCTGACAGGGCACTATTGAGTGGGAACACAGCACCATTTTAAGACAGCTAATTAGGCCCATTCCAGAGCACAGCACAGATGGAGCAGGCACAACAGCTTTTACTGTGGTGCTCCCTAGCACAGGCTGGGATAGTACAGACTCAGCGCCTGAATCCTGATCTCAGAACCCTGTTCTATTCAACAGACAACCACAACTCTTAAATCTGAAGGTTTTTTTTGACAGGATGACTGTCATCGCTACTTTTTACTTCTGTGAAATACAGGTAGTTCATATACAGAGCCCGTGTATATGTGTGCACATGTATACATATATCATGATGCTGAAGTGTTCTGAGAGCCTTTAAAAGGAGATCTATTTTCCCCAGCTATAAATGCTGACCTTTGGAAAGCATTTTGTAGTCTACTAAAGAAACCATACTGCTGGTCTTAGTCCTCTTACCAAGATTCCTCTTTCCTTTCGGATTTGTCTTAGGCATTTACGGAGGAAGCAGGCAGTCAGTGTAACACTTAAATGTGAAACAAATTGCAGAACCAGAAAACAACTGGGATTATATCACTTTGTTATTCTTAATCCTGTTTATTACAGTAGTGCCCACAGATCAACCAAGGAGGCCCAGCTGTGGCAGACAGCATGTGCATACTGTCAGACCCTGCCCAGAGGAGCTTATAGTCTAAATAAGCAGGATGCCCACCAGATGTGGAAAGAGGAATAACAGACCAACAGTAGGAACAAACATGATACAGCAAAAATTCTCTCAGCTCCATGAATTTGGAGGGCAGAAAGGGGCAGGTGTGGAGTGTGTCGAGGCAAGGAGACTAGCCGGTTAGCTCTGTTGTTGCCATAATATTGCTTGGTTGCTTCTTTCCCCTCATTACCCTCCCACCCTCCTTCCTTTCTCTGCTCTACCCTTCCCCCCTCCTCATTTCCTCCCACCATGCATTCACAGTTGCGCCGGTTATTAGAGGACTCTGTACTTACTGGGTCCGAAGTGTAAACGCTGCACTGGTAATAGAGGTGGGCAGGTTAAGGCCTTTGGTGATCTCCCGCCATATCTTCTTGTTGATGATTTCCACCAACCCCCCTTTCTCAGTCACCAGCTTGTACAGCATGTATAGATCGAGGATCTGCTTTGCCATGATGGGGATCCGATTGATGGGGGTGCCTGCAATTCCACGGCAAGACAGCAGGGAAGGGAGCATGGAGGCAGGGAAAAGGAGGACAAGAAATCAGTCAGGCAGGTTCAAGCCATCGATCTCCCTTCTACCGAGAAATGCAGGTGATTTTATTGGCAACCTTCTTTGAGCCCTCTCTGTGGGTTGCTAAATGGGAAAGACAAGCTTAGCCACACACCTTTCCATGGAAAAGCCTTTCCTACAGGCAAAAGCAATTATCAGACAAATAACAGCCTGCAGCTAGGCAAACTCAGGAGAGCAGAAGGAGGAAGGGAGCTACTCTATTCAAGGAATAGCAATGTGAAACGCAGGTGAAGGAGCAGCACAGAGGTTTGATCTATGTCAGCCTCCCGGTGAGCTACTGGCTGAAGTTTGTACCATTCATACTCAGGAGGTGGCTAAAAAGATGCCAGGAAACGGCCCTTACCAAGAGGAACACAAGAGGCCTAGGCCTCAGGACTCTGATGTGCTCGTTGAAATGTTCTCTTCCTCTCAGTTATTTTTGGTACTTAACATATGAGAGCAGAACCGGAAGGGCTGATGACATTTTGGCTCACATTACCCCTCCCTTACCCCCCATACACAGTCACACTATCTTTTGCAATTGCTTCTGCTCCTGTTCATCACACAATCTGTTTTCTTCCTCCTAGTTCCCCTCCCTGCAGTAGCACATGAGTGCCTACTGCTAGCCCCTACTGCATCTTCTCCCATTTTAAGTTCCTTTCCCTCAGTCCTTGTGCGTCACAAATGTTCTCCTTGACAGAAGCAAGCTGCACTGCAGATGGCTCTCAACTTCATCAACAATGCAATTTTTCCATGAAGCAGGAAGGATCAGCAGGTACACCCTGCTGCTAGGAGTCGGCATGGTACTTGTGTACTACTTCTAGCTCATGTCCAGTTCAAGACTAAACTGAGCAGCAGAACACTGATCTGGTGTACTACGATGTTACTGCTGCTCTCTCCTGCTTTTTGGGGAAGGCAGGAAAGAGGGAGTGACTTGAAAAGATGAAGACATAGATCCTGGCACCTTTGATCTCATTCCCAATTTATCTATTCTATGCATTAAGAGAGTGGGGGCCAACCTTTCTGGCAGGAGTGGCACAAACTAACCCTGCACCCTCCCTGAGTACCACTGTGATCTTCTCCCCTTATCCGATGTGCTGCTCTGCTTTCTGCTCCCTGCCCTGTGCTCCCTGCCTTATTTGGTACTCCGCTTTCTACTCCCCTCCCTATCTGCCACTGTGCTGCCTGTCCCCTTCCTGATCTGCCATGTGCCACATAGAGGCTGGCTTTGCCACTTGTGCCACAGGTTGGCCACTCCTATCTTAAGAAAATATCTGCAGATGCTGAGCTACCCCCTGACCCACTTGTGCTTAAAAGGACATGGCAAGGTTGATGTAGACCCATATTGAAGCTTTCCACAATCAGGCTAACAGACAGCCAAGACCAATCTGAACAAGCAAATCACATATCTGAAAGGGACCGGACAACACTGCAGACCTTCCCTTGCATCATGTGCAATCCAAGCACTGTAGCAATATGGTAGCACAAGAAAGCTGGAAAGCAAAACTGTGTGCTTTCACTGTCTAAGGGGAACAAGCCAATAACATTAGGGAGAAGTAGGTGAGATTTCAGGACTGGCTGTCCCTTTGCTGCAATCCAGCCCTGAGTTGGGAAATGAGGAGTTAATCAAGCAATCATCCTTGCCCTGAACTCAGTAAAGTATGACCACATTGCTGAGCACCAGCGGAGCACCATGTGCCTGCTGTGATGCCATATAGGCATAGTGGTGCTGTATGCTGTATCCACTTGTGAGCACACGGGTATTTGGGTGCCTGCCCTTTGGCTCGCAGCGGCAAACCTGCCATGCTGCTCTATTCCTGCTTTCACAAGGTGTACTGGGAAAACACATCTGCTCAGCTTTAGTACTCTCAAGAGTTAATGCTGATCCAAGAATCTGATGTATAAATTGGCAGCACCCCCTTATCAGAACTATGAAGCAATAAACTGTGGAGGGAATTAAAAGGTTGAAACTAATGATAGCCACAGAAAGGACAAAAGAAAAACATGGACAGGGGGAATGTATTTCTATGTAGGACATGCTGGAGTAATCCTATGTTCCCAGTAAGATCAGGGTCCTGCCTGAGAGAGAGGACAATACCACCATCTTTAACGGAAGGTCCAAGAAGCCCTATAATGGACGAGCATGGAATAATCAGCCCGCTGGGGAGATTCCTTCCAGCCTGAAGCTGAATGGTTTATAGCCCTCAAAAATGGTTTTTATTCTGTTCAGTCCAGGAGTTCAACTCAATTTCAAACTTTCATATTATATGAGTACGCAATCCCTTTATATATAGGGATATATAGGGATTATGCACTTGGTGCACACACATATGGACACGTATATGCACACTTCTGTCCTCAATAACTCATGGCACTGAGTTCCCCAAGTTAATTCTATGCTACATATTAGTTTTTAACATGCTGCTTTGCAATGCTGTTGAATGTCTCCTTGTTCTCATATTATGAGAGAAAGTAAAGAGGCACCCTGCGCTGACCCTGCCTATACCATTCATTGTTTTGTATACATCTATCATATCCTCCTTTACTTGTCTTCTCTCTAAACAGTCCCCTCCCTCTCCAGAGGAGAGACATTTATAAAACAGCAACGCCTAAGCTGTCGGCCATCGGCTGCCGCAGCTTTGTTTCCTCAAGGAGCGGGACTAGAATAATTTCTGAACTGTTTAAATATGCTGTGGCCCCGAGCAGCCAAAAAAGTTTGAATCAAGGCCTTGTGCCCGACAGTTTGCAAAGAACTTTTTTCCAATTACTCAGTCGGTCTAATAAAAGATATCACATCTACCCAAAGAAGCTTGCCCGCCTATGTCGTCAGACCAACACGGCTTTGAGCAAAAACCCTGAATCGAGGCCTGATTTACACCTGAACTTTAAATTGGTGCAACTGAGCTGGTGAGGGGCATTTTTTAAAATAGCTATAATATAGCCCCTAGGGTAGATGCAGTTGTACCTATAAGAAGAGGGACAGATTCATTTTCCTCTCCTGCTAGTAAATCCTTTACAGTGATCTAACTCCCACCATGCTGTAGGGAGAGAGGGCTGTACTGCTTTAATTCGAGCAGACAAAATGGTAGAACTGTTTAATGCACACAAAGCCTCTATCAGTTTAAACAGTGTTAAAAAGCATTTGAAGGCAACTCACTTAATATGGTTAAAGGCGCAGAGGCAGTTACTGTTTTCAGAAGGCTGTAAAGTGAGCCTGTCGACAGACCGTGTTTCGCCTTCTCTGAAAAGCCCTTGTTTAACAGAACTGTTGGCCAATGTCAACGACCCATTTACTTATTTTCCTTGGAGGACTTTTAGAAGTTGACCTGGGAGCTTTCAACAGAGCTGGGTGAGAGGGCAAAAATCTGATTTATCCCTTCTCACCACCAAGAAAATGGAGAGGGGGAAAGGAGGGGGGAGAGAGGGTCTATTATTAACCCCTTCATTGGCACATCTACATTTCTGCCAGGGTGGCCACTTCCAGTAGGACACAGGGATGGTCCAACAGTGCCAATCATTACAGAAGCTGCATCAATGCTGCCACACCGCTAATCAGTCTGGGTCGGCAAAGGCAGGGGAAGGCAGCACTTGGCGCACACATCTTTTTTCTTCCCCTCCCCCAAGGTCATTTTTGGGCAGCTCAAAACCACCCACTCTTCCCCACAATCCAATTTAGAAATGGTATTAACTTGCCCATCAGGGACTTTCATCCAGCTATTCTTGGAGACTGGCCAGATGGGGCAGTTGGACAGTGAATGGGAAGGGTCACTAACAAGGTTTCTCAGGAAAACCAAGAGGCTAGTAAGGGGGGATACTAAAATGTTAACTTTTTTTTAAACAACCAAACTTTATTCTCAACACGGTTCTTCTCTCTTCTCAAAACCTTCCCATCTCACAATCCTAAAATGTTTTATGCACATTAATGAACTGACTCTCAAGACAGCACTGTGAAGGAGCCAGCTATTATGCCCATTTTACAGAAGGGAAATTGAGGCAAAGAGAGACAAAGTACTTTGTCACAAGCCAGTCAATCACTGGCTAGAGCAAGAAGAATCAGCAGCTGAATTCCAGTTTCCTATTGGTTGCAATGGGGGGACACAACCTTCCCCCCCCCCCCCCCCCCCCCCATTTTTTTTTAAAACAGGCCCTTTAAAGGAAAATCTTACATACAACAAGCAGGGATCCTGGTTTTCTCCGATTAAAAATAAAAATCCCCAATTTTCCGTTTTAAAAAAGTAACCCAAAACCCACATTTTTCCCTGATTAAAATGAAACACCACTATATATGTTTGTGTATATATCTGAGAAAACCAGGATCCCTGGTAATATGGAACTATAGATAACCTCCTCTGCAAACCTACCACGTAAAGATTTTTTTTAACAGATTTTTTTTTTTAACCAACCTGAAAAATGTATCAGCAGAAATAAAATCCTCAATTACATTCTACAAAATGACAATTTAGAATTATACAGACATTTTCTATCAAGTATTATATGGCTTTGCTATTAGAGAAGTAAGTCCTGAGTTATAGTTTCTTAGCTGCAAGGAGCTGGGAATCGAATGGGAGTTGCGTTTTTTGTCTCAGCGTGATCTTCGCTGGTTTACATCACCCAGAGCGCAGCACGCCGTTCGGGAAACACATACGGGAAAGTGTGGAAAGGCTGCTCTTGGAGACCCCCCCGCCCCGGCCTCTCAGAGGAAGGCAAAAGCGATAAAGTCTTTATTGGAAACCCCCAGCGCTGAACAGGAAAGGCTGAAAAACGAGCATCATGGGACGAGAGGACGCTGAAGCCGAGCGGATCCTTTCACAGTCGGCTGCGAGGCTTGTCAGGGCCCATGATGGATTACTGTCATCTGGCAGCATCAGGATTAATGATCTAGAGGTCAGAGGGGAGAATTCCAGAGGGAAAGGTCACTGGTCAGGGG